CACATGCACATTCCAGTCCACTCTCCTTGGCTGCCAGGTTAATATTGATGTTGCACAAACCATTCCCATTATGTTAACAATGGCTGGACTTTCTCCGGACAGACCTTGTACAACAATGAAAGTAAATCAATTCATATTGTGCGCATTAACACACATGGATTTTGTTGAGAAAACAAAAATTGCACATCATATTATGATACCGTAAAGAAGAAATTAAAAGACATCTACACAAAACATTCTTATATGCAAAAAAAGTGTTCTGCTCCATAAATTCTTACCCTCCTCAACAGCTTTTCATAGCCTGAAAAAGCTACAAATAATATGAGTAGAAGTTATAGTTATTACTACAAGTGGAAAGTTTAAGGCTTTTCAAAACCAATTGCACTTACATGTAATTTCTTCCTAATCAAGCTGTTAGTGTCGATTTCCTCATGCAGGGTCTATTAAATAAGAGATATATTTACTTCCTTACTGTGATGATCTTTGGGAGGAAGCGCTCTCAGGATGTCTTAAGGACTTTTTCTTCCCAATTAGAGGACTCTTCATTAATAAATCACATGAAAAAGGAATCTGCTTTAGTGTATTGACCACATTCAATTAGGCAATTATAATACAATTTGCTTCTCCGTGTTGTGGATATACTACTTAGGGTTGTTAAGTGTTAGAGAATGCTTTAGTGGTTCCTGTTAGAGACTCTCATTTTACAGATGAAGAAACAGAGACCCAAAGCAGGAAAGTCACTTCCCTAAACATATGTAGCTAGTAATAGGCAGAATTGGGATTGAGTCCCAGGCTGTTGACTAGAGCTCGCTCTAGGACTGTGCAGTACACTGCTCGTGCAGGACCAACTGTGTCCATACACCGCCCACAAGACAGATTAATCAGGCCAGTGACAAAAACAAGATGATCACCAACCCCCCACCCCAAATACTAGTTTATTGCAATTATAATTTCAAATCCATTTGCCAAATACTTTAACTTTTTAATGGTGATGTGGACATTAATCTATGTGCGTACCTCTAACATAACTCTAGAGGTTTTCCCCATGTATATCTGCATAAATTTTATATATATTTGAATTGTATATATATTCGAAGTGAATGTGTGTGTATCTGGAGTTGGAAGATTATAACGATACTTTGGGAAAGCTTCGTGTTGCCTTTGTGTCTTTTAACCTCCAACTGGAAGATAATTAATATTGTACATGGTAGTGTTAACACGGTTGACCTCATGGGTTATTTAAACACTAGAACTTCATCATTCTCCTACAGTAGGTTTCCAAGTGATGGGTTTAGAGATGCTGATGCCCAAAGGAAAAACATTCTCACACAGTGCTTGGAATAAATAAGTCTCCTTATGAGACTTTACTGGAAGGTGCAAGTGCTATACAGGTATTTTCATCTGTGAAATCCTCCACTATTGGAGAACAGTGATTATTTTTAACTTCCACTCACATTGTTCTTGTTTATTGCATCAGACATTGTAACTCTTTAAAATCAGAAATTTCACCATTTTTCCTCCTAGCCCTTGCATTATTTCCCCAAGCCCTTGAATTTAGAGTTATACCAAACGTTCCCGGAAGTATCATTAGTCACAGCATAATAATAAAACGTGACTGTCTTCTGTTCTGGTTATGGTGTCCTTATGTATGCAGACCTTCTTCCTTGTTCAAATGATTGTCCATGTGGATCTTACAATTAGTAAGAAGCAGTTTTAAAGCTGTATGACAATAAACATTTCCGCAGAACCACTTACATCCCAGGTCTAGTGTAATTGCCACTATTTTACACTGCGAGCCAGTAATATATGTGAGTCAGCTGACCTGTCTTTAACTCTCTTAATACAAATAATCAAAAAATAAAAAAAACACTGTCTTATAGGAAATCACTTCACTTTTATAACACCATCCTGAATTCTGTTTAGTTCATTTTTCTTTGTATGTTTGTTTGCTTCTCCAGGGCAAAAGTGTACTCTTTTCTTTTTCTGGTTTACAAACATTAAGTCGTAACTCCTGATCTTGCCAGACAGTCAAACTAAATAATTTTGGCTCTACCAGGTCTCAGGAAACCTCCAAAGAAATTTAGGTGTTACAGGAATAGATGTTAGCAATTCCAGTTGTTCGACTCTTGCCTTTAGAGTATTCCCTAAATTGCGTTGGAGTACATTATTGCATTGCTGTGAGCTCCCTCTGCCAACTTCCACCCTAGAGATGGCTATATTTCACAGATGAGTGAAATGATACTTGTAAACAAGTTTATAATTATTAATAAGGCTTCCCAAAACAATTTGAGCTCTTTAGAAACACACATCCGCTATTATAATTGTCTATTTTTTTAATTACAACCAATTGAGACATGAAGACTTGTAAAATGCAATTTATAAAAATTTTCAACTGAATTTTGGTTTTGTAACTTTCAAGTATCAAATAATTTCTCTCTGGGGATGTTGGTTGACATTCCATCATGAGTATTCCAATGCACTCTCTAAAAATTAAAAATTCCTAAAGAATATTTTTCTTTGGGAAACTTAAAGTTGACAACTGCCCACTCTGGGATCCAGATGCTATATTCACAGTATGATGATTTTTTTCTGTTTTCTGTACATGGCCTTTACATACTGTCTCTTAGAGATGAAAAATTCTGCCTCCTTTTATACATTTGATAGTAAACTTTCATTAGAATGGCTTAAAATCAGGTCTTTTCATTCCAGATACCATCTCCAGTTTGGTTTCCTGAAGATCTTGGTGGTAAATTAATCCATTGTCTATTTTTGGAGTGCCTATTTCACATAGAACTCACGCCAGCCACTGTGTGTAAGCAGCACTGAAAAAATTACAGTTTCAGACAAATGACAGGGAATCTACAGATACTAGCAAGTGTCAGTGGGTCCCTGAAAGAATGTGCTGGGATCTGGGTGGTCTTTGAGGTCTGTGGTATCATCCTTTAGAGTCAGGGAAGTATCTCCCTTCCATAAGGTTTATATAATGTTTGACGTTATCCCCTGCTCCCAAGGTTTTAAACTCTATGATTGCTTTTCTGTCACAAATACAGGGAGGGACAAAAGTAGGTTATGGTTGTGAGTACATGAAACACACAGTTAATTTTTTTAAGATTTTATTTATTTATTTTTAGAGCGGGAAGGGAGGGAGAAAGAGAGAGAGAAACATCAATGTGCGGTTGCTGGGGGCCGTGGCCTACAACCCAGGTATGTGGCCTGACTGGGAATCGAACCTGCAACACTTTGGTTCGCAGCCTGTGCTCAATCCACTGAGCTATGCCAGCCAGGGCTGCTATTCTTATATTATTATTTATGAATTATTGCATTCTTTTCCATATGAACAACTGTAAACCTACGTTTGCCCCACCCTGTATACTGGCCCTCACATACCTCCATGCAATATACAAGTATATTTCATGAAAAGACCCTTGGGTTTTAGAGGTTTAAGTGCTGTGGCTAGTGACCTGTAAACGCAAGGACACTAAAAAAACCCTGGAAAACTTAATGTCTCTCTCAAATAGAAAAGTTTTAAATTGTGTCTGAAAATAATAAACACGATATCTTACACTTTATGGCCATTTTAAGTTGGAAAAGTATATGCACATTTATCATATTGTTCTACTCTCAAAATTAGTAATAAAAGGAAAGAAAAAGCATTAAGTCATTCAACACATTGAGTGCCCACTTCACGGTAGGCACTATGCAATCATGATCCATGATGCATAAGGCAGTCCAAAGAACTGAGACTTCCCTTGGGAAAATAAGACATGGATGGAAATAAAAACAATAAAGGTAGTATTAAAAAGTCTCTTGTAAGTGAGAAATAGATGGGGCACAGCGAGCTTTAGAATTATGTGCCATACTATGCTAGCTAATGTACACTATCTCAGAATACTTCTCTAAACTCTGTAATAGCTATTTTATCAACAACTTATGGACAAGGGAATGAAATCTCCCAGGTTCTAAATTCCTTGCCTCAGGAAACTAAGTGCCTATCACGAGCCCTGTACTGAATTTCTGGCAGAGCCAGGACATCAAGCAAGGCTCCTGACTTATCAGCTATTACCATGTTTCTCCCACTAGATCAGGCAAGTGTAGAAAAAGGGCAGTGTTAACATATTCCCATTTTCTTCTCTTAACAAAGCCCCTTTCGTTCCGACAGCACCGGGGTGCATCAGGTGTTGCCCTCAGGACCAGCTAAGGCAAATTGTCTGTGCCTTTGGTGGAGGCTGTTTGCTTTTCTCAGCCGATGGTATATGACCAGGAAGGTCTCTGGACTTGGCTTCCGAAGTTGAATAGTCTACCGGACTTCAAGCGTCCCAAGGGGCCCTTTTGACATTGAGTCCATAGAGTCGCGATGGAGTCGTAGGCATGAGTTTTCTTACCCTTGAAGCAACTGAGGCTCAGGGGTCGGAAACAGGTCCTGTGACTCCAGCCCAGTGGCTTCAGCGACCTTTATTCATACCTCTGTTTTGGAATCTTACCTGCTTCCCTCTCTCCCTTTTCTTGGGGGAGGGGAGTAGGGGGTACCATTTCAGTCAATTAACAGCCTTCTCTTTTTTTCCCAAAAGAAGAGGGGATAAGGGGTTGAGAAAACTGTGTTTTCTAAGGGGCAGTGAAGGAGAGGGATGCATTCCATTACTATTTGTCGAACGTCTGCTCCGTGCCAAGCACAGGGCATCTAGGACACAGCAAAGACAGCTTCCAAAGACTGAAATCGGGCCTGTCCCTACATCGGGCAGGCCCCGGGGCTTGACTGCCCTCTCTCAGGAGCCGTCCCCCGCCGTCCGCTCTAGGCACCCACGTCCCCAGAGCCCAGAGCTGAGCCAGGCCAGAACAGAGGACGCACGCCCTGCAGAGGAGCACCTAGCCTCGGAAAGGAGCTCGCGTCGCGCGCCCTCGGTCGCCACGGCAACCAAGGCGGTGCTGACCTCTGACCCGGCGGCCCCGCCCCGCCTGGCCCCGCCCCGTTGCATTCCCGAAATCAACATGGAGATGGACAACCCGGAAGTGCCGATGCGGGTGCCGCCGCCGCCGCCGCTACCTGCGCGGAGCTAGGAGCCCAGGACCCCAACAGGCCGAGCCCGGTGCCCGCCGCCCTGCCGCCCGTGGCAAGCCGGCGCCTAGGCAGCTGCATCCCCCTCCCTTGCCCCAGGTCCCACTCCACCCCCAGGCGACCCGCCCCCGCCCGGAGGAGGAGCCGAGGCGAGTGGGAGGTGGAGGGAGAGGTTTGCTAGAGGGAGCGAGGCCGCGCGAGCCGCCGGCGGTTCGTATTACCGGGGTCGGGAGGAGGGGCCGGGCCGGGCCGGCGGGCTAGCGGAGGGCGGGCGGGAGGCGCGGAGGAGGCGAGGGCAGCCTGGTTAGGAGGAGGCGGGCGAGAGGCCGGGGGCTGCGAATTAGGCGGACGAGCTCTAGTCTGCAGGGCTGGGGGCGCCCTCCCACTCCGCAGCCGTCCGCCAGGGCCGTGGCGGCCAGGCCTCACCTTCCCGCAGGCCCGGAGCCGCCCGCCGCCGAGGGCTTGTCCCTAGGGCCGGGGGAGCGTGAAGGTGCGGGCGCGGGGCCCGGGACGGCGCGGCCAGGTGATGGTGGGTCCCTGTGCTTTTGAAGAAAGGGGACCCCCAGAGCAGCCGTGTCCCCGGGCTGCCCCCGTGAGGCCCTTGGACATCAGCCTTGGGCAAGTTGGGCAACTGTGAGATTGCCCATCTCCGTTAAGTGTCCTTAGGATGCAGTGATTGGGGATCAGGTTCTCCCTCCGGGAGGGGCACTGCCTGAGCTGGGGGACTTGGGTGCAGAGAAGGACAGAATGATGCTGTCGGAGCAAGCCCAAAAGTGGTTTCCAACCCACGTGCAGGTCACAGTGCTCCAAGCCAAAGGTCTTAAGCCAAAAGGCAAAAGTGGCACCAATGACACATACACTATAATTCAGCTGGGCAAGGAAAAGTACTCCACCTCCGTAGCTGAGAAAACCCTTGAGCCAGTCTGGAAGGAAGAGGCCTCCTTTGAGCTACCCGGCTTGCTAATGCAGGGCAATCCAGACAAGTACATTCTTTTCCTCGTGGTTATGCACAGGTCCCTGGTGGGGCTGGATAAGTTTTTAGGGCAGGTGGCAGTCAACCTCAATGACATCTTTGAGGACAAACAAAGAAGGAAAACAGAGTAAGTTATGTAATTTATTTTTAATTTGGGGAAGCTTAACTGTATCTTGTTTATGGATTTTCTCTTCTTGGAAATTATGTGTATACCCGGGGCATTGGTGTTCGGACTGAAATATGACCCAGTTTTAAGCACCATACTTGCATGACTTCGAAGTAAAAATAGCCCTTGTGAAGAAACATTTTTAAAATGGAGTCTTGAATGGTCCCTTACTCTGATTTGTTTGAGGTGTTCATCTTAAAGAATTGAATGCTTCGGCCTGGGTTTTAAGTAAATTAACATTATTTCGTTACTTATTACAAGACTGGAGCACAGCTCAAATGAGGAGTGTAAGTTGTCTTTAAACATAACAGTTTTCCAGGAAATGGAATAGCAGAAAACTAAATCTGCCAATATAATGTGCTATATACGTTGATCTTGGAAGCTATTAAAAGACGAAGTACCAGATTTAGAGCTCATTATGTCATCTCAACATTGCAAACACAGTGGCCTTTATTTGAGTGCAGCCATTTTTCAGGGTAAGGACGTCCTGATGGAGTCTAAAGATGCTTAAAGAAAAAAAAGTTTTATAAGTGTGTACAAACATCCTCAACCTTGAACACACGAATGTTTCCCTTGGAATTTATAATACATTGGAGCTGGTGAATTCCTTCGGAATTAGCTGTACAAAGCTAATGTGTTTAGACCACATTAAAACCTGTCAGATTTAGACAGTGATTACATTCTTGTGATGAAATGATGTAATGACATCTTCAGTGAAAACACGGCTTTTAAAATATGACCTTTTAGCTTAAGACAGATACATTCTAAATGTGAATACCGTCATGTAAGTTAACACTGGGATGTTACATTGAAAAATAGAACGTTTTCAGAGATAGGTATACTTATCTCTTCCTTAAACATAATTTTTCTGGTCTGGGAGAACATTATTAATGAGAGAAAAATATAGGTTGAATTTATAAGAGGAATTGAAATTTCCAAAATAGCTTTGCTTGTTTGTTTCATTCATAACTGAAATTTAGTTACCCTTTTAGAAACTTTTTTATAATGATAACTTTCTTGACATTTATGTTAACTTCTTATATTTTCAAACAACCACCTCTTGTTTTTTTTCTATGTGTGTCTTTCTGCAAGCTTCTCATGACTGGAGTTTTAATTTTCATTAAAAAAAACTTTTCCATCAGATCTTTACCTAAGATTTAAGGTGTTGGGCAAAAGGGTAGAGAGATAAGAAATACTAGGAATGCAAGACAAACAATGGTAAATATTTAGACTAGTTAAGGAGATGAAAATACTGTGAGAAAAAGGAACGAAAAGGGTTTTAAAAAGTGTAGGTTGACTATATATCAGTGATTTTAATGAAATTGCTTGAGATCTACAGTGGTATTCAGTTTCCTCTGAGGAGTTCATCAGATTTAAATTGCAAATGGATAATTATCAAATAATTTGTTCCACATCACCAGTTTCAGGTGTCATTTAATATATAATGTTCAGAGTGTTCTGAATGTAAACTTTCAAGTACATTGTAACTTCAGCTTTCATGCTGCGCTGCCAGTACTTTCGGTGGTAAGGAGGGAGGCGTCACAGGCCCTCTCTGAAATGCAAATTCTCCATGTGAAAGCAGGCCCAGCTGTGAACCCGGGGATTCTGAGGACCAAGTAAGCTTTTCAGGTTCCTTCTTGTTTTACCCCTTGTTGTTGTCAACATCACAGTTCTAATACGTTTGGCTGTAAACAGTGACACTGTAGACTCCCTGGAGAAATTCTCTCTTGGCTACTATGTAAAATTGGTTAGAACTTTTGTGGGGCGAGTGCTTTAAAATGTTATCAGCAGGCCTGGCGATGTTATTGCTTTCAGAATGATTTTCATGCTATTAAATGCCTCCCATTTTCTTTCTTTGTGGATAAATGGGGACCACATATTTGATGAGGTATCTTTATAGGTAATATGTCTAGTTTTTCAATATATTTAATAGTTTCCTTTTGCGGCACAGCTGTGCATATGTAGCACAGTGAGGGACAGACTTGAGCCACTGGTGTATTGCAAGAGAGATATTTAATATTCTGCACGTTGCTGAACCTCGTCGGCATATTCCCAAGTGCTTTGGGGAAAAGCCGCGTGAATGGTGAAGGTTACCAGCTGAGCTGGAAGTCCCATGCAACTGCTGGGTGTGACACTTTTTATTCTTGACACTGAAGACAGGTATTTACAGCCTGTCTTCCAGTTGTGTCATGATAGGCAAAGAAATGTGACAGCTAAAACTATTATTTAACTTATTTTTATACCTTTCAATTAAGTACCTTTTTTTTTCTTTTAAGAAGCAGGGAAAGGGGCCTGAACCGGTACACTGTGAGTGGAGCCTAGAGAGGGAACTTCTGTATCTCCCACTTTAATGGGTGGTTCTGGCATGAGGTTTAAGGAAATAATACAATGTTTAATAATAGAGTGGTAAAATTGTTCATGCTGTTATGTAACGTCTATTGATTTTTTAAAAAATTTTTTTTTACAACAGAAGTGGGTGATGTTGATTTTTTTTTTTAATGCTCATAAAAAGTAATAACAATCAGAGTCCCTAGAGTTAGGTATGACTCAAGCACATGCTGATTTTAGGACTTTTGTGTGTGTCTCTGCGGTGCACCTGCGTCCTGGCCTCTGGCACCCTTTCTGCCAATCTTGTCCCGTTTCTGACCACACAGCGCCAATTGCTTGGGAATAGCTCCCACATGTGTGCTGGTTTTTGAACATGGACCTGTGTGTGCCCACTAAAAATGGAACAGAGGCCATAGATAGTTTCAACCCAACACTCAGGAGGTGAAAAAAAAATCAGCATTAATTCACTAAGCCCCAAATGCTACGTCTTCATCTTATCTTTTTGAAGCCTGGGAAAACAAGTTTTATCTCTGGGATGATTTTTGAAGGTCTCATTAAGACTTCCCCTGTTATATCACTTTCAAAACAAGACCGCTAAGCTATTTGTCATGGCTGTAGTTTAAATTAGTATATTTAAAGTTCTTTGCAGTATTTTTTTTGGGGGGGGTGGGAGGAGGATGGTAGAATACTGTATTTACAGTTTGTAGTCAAGCACTGACTTGCTTTATTCTATAAAGCTCATCTAAGTCGTTAGTGTTCCCTGCCAAAAACAAAACAATGCAAAACACGCCACACGCACCCACAGTGTATTGTAGCTTGGTTGTTTTAAGGATCCAGTTCTAGAAATAATTCAGTTAACATTTATTTAGTGAAGGCAAACTATCTTCATGGACCTTACACCCTAGCAGCAGAAAACCTGCATGGCCTTCCTCTCTGGCTGTCTCGTCTCCTGATTAAATAGTGTCCTGAAGTAGATGAGCAGCTATGCATTTGCTATTATTACCATGTTTGGTTCATCACATATGAAAGGACTTCTGTTTTCATGCAGATGTTATCCATCAACTTTGGATACTTTTCTTATTGACTTTAAACTGAAAATGGATATTACTTATATTATGTGTGCCTCATTTTCCTCATCTCTGAAATCAGAAAATTAAAGTACACGATGTAGTTGGTCTTATTTGTAAAATTCTGTGAATTTTGATTACCTTCATCCCCTTCCATTTATTGGGTTATTGGTTTGTTTGTTTTTTTCCTGATTTGCTTTGATTTGTTATACACATGGAAACCCTACAGGCCTAGGTTTTATTTGCTTGTTTGTTTTGTTTTGTTTCGGGTACAAAGTGTATTCATCTATTTTCTGTAAAGCCTGAGATGTCACAGAATATTTCTGTAGTACCACACTCATCAGAAGTATCCCTCGCCCGTTGAAAATAGCTCTGTTTTCCAAAACTAAGTTTAAACTGGGTATATAACGTTGTTTCATTTCCAGACTTTTCGAGTGCTCAAGTTCGTGTTTCTGTTCCACAGAGTTTATCACTGTCACGTCTAGTCTCTGCTGCTGCAGATCTCACCATTTGCCGCAGATAAAGGATTTTCTCAGTTTAGAGTAAACCAAGTTAATGCTTTCTATTCTAAAATATTCTCTCTTTAAAAAAAAAAAAGTTGCTTGTTTTGATGCGGCTAGATCTTACTTGATTGAATTGCTCCAAATTAATCAGGAAAACACTTCTTTAGAGTGCTACTCACTGAGGTGCAGCTGGCGTGTGTATTGCCGCCTGCCTGTTTTTCCTCCTGCCTGGGAAGACCTGGGGACCAGTCTCCCCTGTGATATATAGTAAATGTACCTCCTTCTGGCGTATCCTGTTGGTAACAAATGAGGGCAAGAACTAATATAAAATTAGATCTGAGTTCCTTTGTAGCTAAGAAAATTTGTTACCCTTGATTAGAGCTATATTAAAATAATAACTCATCTGCAGGAATGGATATTATGCTTCATTGTTAAGTCATGTGAAAACATTGGAGAAACTGTCTCCTAGGCTTGGTTTTGCAGGGTGGTTTTTGTTTTTTGGGGTTTTCTTGTTCTTTTTTCTTTTTTTTGGCTGTTTGCCCTATGGAATGACCACTTGTAACACTGACAACTGGAGACTTTCTCATGGATGAAAATACTATGAACAAAAGCAAAATAAACTTTGTTTCTTATACATCATTTAACAGTGGGCAATCTCATACAGCAAAAGGGCTAAGATCATGAGATTTGGCTCCTATTAAAATAAGTTTTGTTCAGTATTGTCACAGTAGCAACAGTAAATGAAACAAAAGTTGTAACAGGAAGCATTTACACTTTTTTTTGGAAAACTTTATAAGATTTATTAGTATTTGTCACTTTCTGCATTTAATTCATGTTGCACTTTTTATTCAGGAAAAGGCTTTGACCCATTTTATATTAATCTAAGTTACACAATATGCAATTTTTATAATTAGTAAACTATATGTAGTGGTCTCCAATATTAATAAAACTCTTTTAATAGTTTTCACAGAAGAAACTTTGGGATGGAGCTAAATATTTACTACTTTATTAAAAATGTAGACATTTATCATTTCATAGTGCCCCATAATAGTTTGTATTGATGAATTCTTTCGGAATCTGTGCTTCAGTATCATTTCACTTTGAAAAACGTTTTTAGACAATTAGCAACCTTTATCCCAGATGGAAACATAATAAATAGCCCTCGTTGGTAAGGATTTTTGATGTGAGTGATTTGCAAATCATGAAAGAAAGAAAACATTATCTGAAAACCTTTTCAAACTTACTGCAGACCCATTTCCTTAGTACATGTCCCATCCCAGAAACAGCGGTCAGTTTTTGAGAATTAAGCAGTGAGTACAAGCGGACGTACTCTGGCCGGCACGTTCTCATCCGGTGCACAGATCACCCTCGGGTGCCAGCGCTTCACCTAGGAAGCTATTTGTATGTAGCAAAGCTTGGTGTCCTCTCTTCATCACATGTTACAACCCAGTTTCTCCTTCTCTTTAAGGTGGTTTAGATTAGAATCCAAACAAGGAAAAAGAGCCAAAAACAGGGGTGAGATAAAGGTCAATATTCAATTCATGAGGAACAACATGACAGCAAGCATGTTCGACTTATCCATGAAGGACAAGACCAGGTCTCCCTTTGCAAAACTGAAAGATAAGGTGAAAGGGAGGAAGAACGATGGGACGTTTTCTGACACGTCTTCTGCGATCATTCCGAGTTCTCACTTGACGGATGCCAATTCGGAGTTTTCGAGCGGTGAGATACAGATGAAATCCAAACCAAAAAAGCCTTTCCTTCTGGGTCCTCAGCGACTCTCCTCAGCACATTCGATGTCTGACTTAACGGGGACCCACGTGTCTTCCGAGAAGCTCAAGTCTGGCCCCGCCGGTCACGCGCATCTTCTTGGCCGCCAGGTAGACTCCTTTGGAGCCGTTCCAGAAAGCGGTGAGTGACGCATCTTCTTCTGCTTGTGTCCTCCGTGGCCCGAGATACCCTTTACAATCTTCACAGTTCAACTTCTCAAATTAGAAAATAATAATTACAGTTTCTTAATAGTATTTTCTAAATTCAGCGATCCAATAACATTGTTAGGAGTACTAAAGGCTGAGTCTGTCTGCATTCAGCATTGCATTTATATTATTAGATGATAATAAAAATGAGTCTCAGCCACTTCTCATGGCCCGGCCTCATTTTTTTTTTTCCTGCTGTTGCTTCCGTCTGCAAAGCTGAAGCATGAATGGATATTTCGTTTAATCAGAAAGTTCCTGGGAAAAGGCCCACGTTCAGAAGTATCGTAAGAAAGTCAGTGTAATGCTAATGATGAAAAAAAGTCTTTGAGAATCTATTGCACTGGCGTGCCTAGCAGAGCCTCTAGTTTTGACATGAGAGTTTGTTTATGTGCTTGTTTCTAGCAGTATACTAATTATTATTAGCCTGATACTTCAGAGTGCTATCCCTTAGCATTTTAGGATTGTTTTCTTTGATGATTTTAGAGGTTAAATCTTTAAGTAGCTAATTGCTCTCGTTCTAAAAGCAGCAGCACGCACACAGAATGTGCCAGCTCGTGTGATGTGATGTGTCGCTGATTATGTACTGCCTACAAAATTGTTTGCAGGAAGCCTCAAGTCTCCGCACAGAAGAACATTAAGCTTTGATACTTCCAAAATGAACCAGCCCGACAGCAGCGTGGAGGAAGGCGAGTCGTCTTTCGGGAGACAAAGTGACCCATTTACCAATGTGACTGCCTCATTACCCCAAAAATTTGCAACACTGCCAAGGAAGAAAAACCCATTCGAAGAAAGTAGCGAATCCTGGGACAGCAACATGACTTTATTTTCGAAATCCGTTGAAGTAAGAAAGGAAAATAAGAGAGAGAAAAGGGAGAAGGTGAGCCTGTTTGAGAGGGTGACTGGGAAGAAGGACAGCAGGAGATCCGATAAACTCCACAATGGGGCGGCCGGCAGCCCCTGTGACTTGAAATCACCGAATGCATTTAGTGAACATCGGCAGGACTATTTTGATTATGAGTCAACTAATCCGTTTACAACAAAATTCAGGGCCTCCCATATAATGCCATCTTCAAGGTAAGCTTAACAGGGGGAAAGCTATGCTATTTTGAAAAATGTTGTACTTGAAAGCATCAAATACCCCTTTTAAAAATACTTGAATATTCTAGTTTTTTTTTGTTTTACTTGAAAAAGTTCCTATTTTTATAGTTAATGATGGAGTCAGATAATATTTGGACTTGAACTTTTTATCTTAGAAGGACGACAGAGTCTTAATCCCTGCCCTGGTCTACAGGGTTTGGCAGAAATAACCCCTGTTTGAGGGTGGTTGGTAGGGTAACAATGTGGGTGTAATGATTTATGGTTTTAATTTGAACATTTCACCTAAAATGTCATACGGTGTGCTTGAGCGGGATACTGTTAGGTTACAGAACTTGTGATTTTGTAATAAAAGATGTTTGTGCAGTAAAAAAGGGGCGTTCCCTGTGCCAGACCCTGTATGTGTACCTAGGTGAGCCGGAAGCTCACCAGAACTGATGGCGAGAAGGGCTTTCGAGGAGACGTGGTGAGGGGATCCCCGGTGGCTGTTCAGGGAAGCCAGAAGCTGGGGAGACGAGTTGTGTTTCCACGTATTATTTCCCAGGAGCCAGTTTGCAGGCTGTCGGGAGAGGGTTAACGGACCAATAGCAGCCCGTGGGCTGTTCTTTAGGAAATACTGGCCTGGGTATTAATGGTTTCCATAATAGATGTTAACTCTCTTTATCAAATGGCAGTGTAGAACTAATTTTACTTGTGAATGTTTATTGGACCCTTGTGGGTACCCTCAGGGACCCTTGTGGGTACTATAAATACATCAAAGAATATCTGTATAATGATATATAGTCATAGACATAATCACTATTATGATAAAGGTTTTCAAAATCTTCATTCTCAGTTATGTGTATAATAATACTTTTCTTATTCCTTAGCACAGGTTGGAACTGTATGCCTTTAAGATTATGGATTTTGCAGAAGTGAACGATGGAGTAGCCAATTAAGGAAACCTCAAACAAAGAAAAAGATGAATTCATTTCGGTCTTAAGCAGTTATCACAGAAGTGCGTGGTAGCGTATTTGCTGTGTGACACACAAGTTTTTTCTCTAGGCAGTGATGGGTACAGACTGGTGGGCGCGCTGGCTCAGTAGCCCTGTGGCCTCTGTCCGTCTCAGCATCTCCACCCTTGAAACAAGGGACATAATTCCTATAAATGATAAATTCAGTACAAGGTACAAAGCCAGGCCCCAAATAGGGAACCCCCAAAATGGCAGCTACCATTCTGTGTTATTGCCGTCACGTCCCGCTGTATTTAAAAACAGGATTTTGTCTCATCCCGCTGTACACACAGCATTCGGTATTAACAGCCGCCCTTTAGGCCGCGCCCTCCCACCTCTCCGGTGACCTAATGGCACGTTACAACTTGCACTTAAACCTTTCAGAGGGGAAGTGTTTCTTCGGTTTTCCCTTAGCAGTAAATGGGATTTGCTGTGGCTCTAGAAAGGATCGGTCGGTTTTCTTTGCAGACTGCACTCCAAAGAAGTACTGTATATTTTTATCTTATGGCATTAATATTTTATTAAGGAGTCCATAGTTTTGATACGCCATTCTGAACTGTTTTATTTTGGGGTTTTATATAGTGTACTTTACATGTTGCATCAGTTCCTAAGCTATAGGCGTAGTGAGTAGGAACCCATCTGCTTTTTTCTCCTCCTGCATTGAACTTGTTTGGAAGGAGACTGTTGAAAACAACCATCTAAGATAACTTAGAGATTGGGTAATTTATGTTACTTTAGAGTCAGAGAAAATGGGAAATGGTAGGGAAATAATGTTTTTAAATTATGACAGCGTATGGAAAAATAGATATCCTCAAACCTTTAATTGCCCTATACTTGGGCTGTTTACACGGACTGTCATGGGTTCTAAAAGTGAGCATGACATTTTGTGAGATTTAAGCTTCGTTTTGGGTTATTTCAGTATTGATGCATTTTCTGTCAAAGTTAAAGCTGTTTCATGTTATATGTATAAAATGATAGCAGGCATATAGAAAAACAATAGATTTTTAAATCTCAAGACTCTCTTTTTTAATATTCTTTCATCTTCCTATTCTGCGAGATGCCAGAAATGACAAGGACAGACACACGTGTAGATTCTTGGAGGCTCCTCTTTCTTACTGTGTCATAAACGCCCTTTGTGGTGAACTTAAAGCATTTGCTGTAAAGGAGCTCTAATTAATAAGATGGCCTGGGGCTGGGGCTGGGAAGAGAGAGTGCGGTCCGTCCTGGGAAAGCGGCTCCTTCCTGCGTGGGACTTGGGACGCTTCATCTGTAGGTAACAGCAGCCCCGTTGGCGCTGCCGGTCCGCCCTCCGTTCCACGGGGCATTTCGGAGTTCTCGCACTCACCGCCAGCCCGCCTGCGCTGTCGCAGCTGCGGACTCGCATCACGAGGGCGTGTGCTGGGGATGATTGTTTTGTCCTAGTCGTGCTTCGTAGGCCTCCCCACACAGTTCCCTGGACTCCCGTGGCTGGAGGTGGCGAGGACGCTGAACAGAGTCGAGGGAGCGACGTGACGCTGTGGAACTGGGCTCTGTCTCCGGGAGTCCGCTGGCTCAGCGGGGGCTGCCGGGGCCCGGGGACTGTCCTTGCCCTCCGCGTGCGTGCGTGCGTGGTGTGCACGGTGACAGCAGGAGCGGTTCCTTCATGCCAGAACAGTCTAGAGTGCTGAGGAACACTTCCTTACTTAGACGTTAGAGTTTTTGTTCCTCAGTGTCAGTGAAGCCCACCCGGAGAAACCGCCCTGCAAACCACAGGGACTCTGCCTTCTGCTTCTGTTCCTGGGGGGACCCCACGGCCTTGCGTGGAACTGATGACGGAACCGAGTTAGGGTTTCGTGGGGTGACTTCCACAGAGAGCGGGGCTCTTTGAAATGCTTTTCCCAAAGTTTCTACTTCTCAGTCTCCTTCCTCTTCCAGGCCCCTCTTTGACCGCCCCCCTCTTCTTCTCTGGGGGCGGAGGCTGATCCTGTGCCGCAGCTCTTTCTTACCCGGCTACTTCCCATGGCACCCCATTACTCGCCGGGAGCCCCGTCACTCTCTCCCCTCCCACTGCCCCGATCAGCTTGAAGGTAGCGCCTGAATTTCATTCATCTTTCCACCCTTCATCTCCAGCATGATGCTTGGTAGGTAGTACGTGTTGGAGAAACATGTTTCAATCAGTGAGCACAGAAGAACTGACTGATTTCCTAAAAGGCTACTTCCACTTCCACAGTCTCCTGCCTCCAGCTCAGTGTGGGCTGTGGGCATCTTTCCGATAGACCGAGAACAGATCCATAAAGGCAAATATGTGCATTTTTATGTGCAGCAAAACATTATGGAAAATCTGAGTGAGTTTTAAAGGACTGTTAAAATTTAATATTCATACCCTAAATAGCACATTTCTGGAGTTTATTAGGAACTCTGTATTAGTTAGAATAGGTTATCAACTGTAATAAACAACGCCAGATGTCGGTGGCTTATTACAGGAGAGGCCTGTGGTTGTCACAGCCTCATTCATGGAGATGGGGATGAGAGGAGTAGGTGCTTGGCTCCACATAGTAGTTCAGGAGCCAGGCTCCTCCTCCCTGGGATGCTCCCATTTAATGCATGGCCTCCAGGGCCACGCAGTGGGGACAGAGAGTGGAGGGTCCCACGCGGGACATCTCTGAGTAAGCCAGGCCTGGCGGTGGTGCGCAGCGCTTCCCACATGTCCCATCGGCCAGAGCTCAGCTGTACCCCAACTTCGGTGCGGCCGGCTAAGAAACGCAGAGCAGCTCTGACTCAGCGGAAGCGGAGCTGGGGGTGGCGAGTACACAGTTCTGTGTTTGCTGCAGATGCCGGTTCTCAGAGGTCTGGATGCTGACACTTGGCGGGCTGCAAAACTCGTACCACACACAAAGGTACACGGACATGTAGTTGAAATGATCATTGTTTTACCGGTTGGAGTTGTTTGTGTTTTAAAATTGCTTCTATTCTTGGTTTTCAGTTATAAGTCACAGGTAGTTGAGCATCACCAGAATCAAGTAATTTGCTGTGTGGCTCACCCCATAGGGTGTGAAGTCATGCTTTTTCACATCAGCAGCATACAGTTTTCCAAAGACAAATACACCTAGATGTTTGTTATGCCGTTTTCAATGCCATGGTCTTTCTTCCTCCGTATCCTAAACCGGGGGGTCCAGTCTGGCTTGCTGCCTGTTTCTGTAAATAAAATTTTGTTGGTGCACAGCCTGCCTATTTGTCTATGGTAGTTTTGTGCTGGCCAAGTAGTACAGGCTATGACCTGCAAAGCCAAAGTATAACAGAACTAGTTTGCCGAACTCTGTACTAGCTGAGTGGAGGGAGACCTTTGAGAAGATTCCTAGGATAGGAACAACCTGAGGCCACCTAACTGAATACGGATACCAGCTGAACCTTGAACTTCGTCTGAATGATGGATTCTCAAAGTATTAAATTACTGAAATTTTTGTTTATTTATTATAGCACTTAGCATGATTATTGTTTAGCACTTAGGGCATAGGGGCCATAGTACCTTTTGTTCTATTGTGTGTGTTTTCTTTAGATTTATTTTATTTATTTTTAGAGAGAGGGGAAGGGAGGGAGAAAGGTAGAGAAACGTTGATGTGAGAGAGAAACATCGATTGATTGCCTCTTGCATGTGCCATGACTGGGGACCAAGCCTGCAACCCAGGTGTGTGCCCTGACCCCGGGCAATCAAACCAGCGAGCGACCTTTTGCTTTGCAGGCTGACACCCAGCCCACTGAGCCACCCAGGTCAGGGCCCTCTGGTTCTGCTTAGGAAAGCCCAGTTCGACAAAAGCCAAGAACCACTCATTTGCAATACCAAACCCAAACCCTTCCTTCAGCTTTTTAAGACTTACTATATTTTAGGCTTTTCTTAACTGCGCAACTTTTCTTTTACCATTCCGTGTCTCTCTGTTTCCGGTGAGTTACTCTCCTTACCTCCCCACCCGGAGGCCTTGGCGAGACTCCCCATCCCCGTTCTCTGGCTCG